AAGAGTATACTAATTCAAAAAACCCATTGGTAATGCGTAATGTTTGCTTATTTTCAACTTTTTAAATTTAAATATATTAAATGAATTTTCTTAATATTATAATTATTAATGTTAATAATAATATTCATTATTATTATTATTATTTTTAATCTTAATAGTGTACTTTGGCTCTTAATTTCCCAGGCGTTTTATAAACCGTGTATTTTTGTTGCTTCAAAAATTTGCCACTATTTTCTGGTGCTTGTCAATATTGGTCCCTTATTTCTACCTCTTATTGGAATTTTCCAAGCAACGAGAAAGAAATCATACCTAGGTTGTTGAAATTGAAAGTTTCATACAAGCCTTGCACCTAAAAGGATTTCACCAATAACCCTAAAACTTATGCCATGATGGATGACTTGTAACTCGAGCGCGAATACTTGAATTTAAGATTCCAACGGTCACAACATCAATATATGTCTTGGGAACCTGGTCTCCAAATTTCTTGCAGATCCAACGGTTCCATCCCCGGGGATCGTCCGAACACTATTGCATGGTCTTCAAAAACTGGGAATTCTGAAAATTCTCCAACATGGAGTCATTTCCCTTTGCCTCCTCTTTGATCAAAGTCTTTAACAAGGAAAGGCTAGGGTTTTTAAGTTTTATATTATTTCACGATCCACCTTGGGTTCCGTTGATCCCTATGGTTCCAAACCTTTACACTTAGGTCCTCATCCTTAATTCCTTAGCAAATTTAACATATGTCTTTAATATTATATTTTTCTAACCACTCATATATACCTTGTATAAAATATTATGAATCCTTAAAATCATATTATTACTTTCAACCTGAAAATAATAACCATTAACATTATAAATCAATTTCTTCTATGGTTAACGATTTTAAAATATAAAACAGAAAATGGGGTGTTACATACTCCACCCCATGCTCGGGAAGGAAACCAAATCGGTCATGTAGATCTGAAAACTTGCTTACCTGTTATTAATTTTACAAACATTTGTTCCGAGACGGATTGATTAGCGACAAATATAAAATTACCGTGGTGATCCATAAAAAATTTGCTGGATTAGCCACGTATTTTAGTAAATTTAAATATGTACCAATTTGTTGGTGAATTTGAAAATTTTCTTTTAAATAATTAGACGATTATCGACAGAGTATACTACTTCAAAAAATCCATTGGTAATGCGTAAAGTTTGCTTATTTTCAAATTTTTAAATATATTAAATGAATTTTCTTATTATTATAATTATTAATGTTAATAATAATATTCATTATTATTATTGTTATGTTTAATCTTTACAGTGTACTTTGGCTCTTAATTTCCCAGGCGTTTTATGAACCGTGTATTTTTGCTGCTTCAAATTTTGTCATAATTGTGTGGTGCTTGTCAATATTGGTTCCCTATTTGTACCTATTATTGGAATTTTCCAAGCAATGAGACAGAAATTATACCGACGTTGTTGAGATTGAAAGTTTCATACAAGCCTTGCACCAAAAACAATTTCGACAACAGCCCTAAAAGTTATGCCATGATCGACGACATGTAACTCGAGCTCGAGTCCATGAATTTAAGATTCCATCAGTCACAACTTCAATATATGTCTTGGGAACCTGCTCTCCATATTTTCTGCAGATCCAATGGTTCAGTACCCGGGGATCGTCAGAACACTATTGCATGGTCTTCAAAATCTAGGAATTCCGAAAATTCTCCACCTTGGAGCCGTTTCCCTTTGCCTCATCTTTGATCACAGTCTTTCATAGGGAATGGCTAGGGTTTTTAAGTTTTTCGTTATTTGATGATCCACATTGGCTTCCTTTGATTCACATGGTTCCAAACCTTTACACTTAGGTCCTCATCCTTAATTCCTTAGCACATTTAACAAGTTTCTTTAATATTATCTCTTTCTAACCCCTCATATTTACCTTGTATAAAATAAAATGAATTCTTAAAATCATATTATTACTTTCAACGTGAAAATAATAACCATTAACATTATAAATCAATTTATCCGATAATTAACGATTTTAAAATATAAAACAAAAAATGGGGTGTTACATACTCCACCCCATGCTCCGGAAGGAAACCAAATCGGTCATGTAGATCTGCAAACTCGCTTACCTTTTAATAACATAATTTTACAAACATTTGTTCCGATACGAATTGGTTAGCTACAAATATAAAAGTATTGTGGTGATCCATAAAAAAAAATTTGTGGGATTAGCAACATATTTTAGTAAATTCAAATATGCACCAATTTGTTTGTAAATTTGTAAATTTTCTTTTAAATAATTTAGACGATTATCGACAGAGTATACTAATTCAAAATATCCATTGGTAATGCGTAAAGTTTTCTTATTTTCAACTTTTTAAATTTAAATATATTAAATGAATTTTCTTGATATTATAATTATTAATGTTAATAATAATATTCATTATTGTTATTATTATTATTATTATTATTATGATTATTATTATTATTATTTATAATCTTGATAGTGTCTTTGGCTCTTAATTTCCCAGACGTTTTATGAACCATGTATTTTTGCTGCTTCAAAAATTTGACACTATTTTTGTGGTGCTTGTTAATATTGGTCCCCTATTTTTACCTCCTTTTGATTTAATGAAATTAAGCAGAACCAACTATATTCAATAAAGAGATTACACACATACAATCGATTATATGTGTTTTGAGCAAATGGGTATTGAAGCCCTCCGTTCAACCCTTAAATCAAACTTCCTCTACATCTTGGATTAGAAGTGGTCAATTGTTTTTGTGTTTTCGGTGACCGCAAAAGAACAATTCACCGGGGACGAAAGAGACACATAAAGAGAGTGAAGGTGAGTACAACCTGTGTTCTTCGATTTTGGTTGTTAGGTAAACTCTGGCTCTGTTGATTTATGCCTTTTTCAGTACGAACTGATTAATTTGAGGTTAAATAGGGTTTTTTTTCGAATATTGTAGGAGTAGGCAGTAGCTAAATTGAACACCGAAATATGGAAAGTCACAGGTCAGGCGGAAGGATGGCAATCATGAATCCACTTCCATCGCTACCTAAAAAAAGCATAGAATTAAACCACAGGCATATATATCTCTCTATTCACAATCATGTTCCATGTTCGAAACTTGCTCCCTAGTCCTTAGGATCTCTCAGTGATTTCTCTAGTGCATACCCCACCGACTTTGGTAATTATTGCTTCTACTCATACATATTTTTGTTCATGCAAGCCATTTCCTCTACAACTTTTAGAAAATCGGCCAAACAGGCCAAGTAGTATCTAACGTCTTAACGTTTCATCCCGTACATCCAATAACTATGATCCATCTATAATTCAATATATATATATATATATATATATATATATATATATATATATATATATATATATATATATATATATATATATATATATATATATATATATGTGTGTGTGTGTGTGTGTGTGTGTATGTTCAAATGAGAACAATTTTGGACCACCTATTAAAAATTTTCAATTTCATTAAAAAAAAATAAATAAAAGAAATGTAATATCTCAATACTCCTATATCCTACTCACTCTGTTATAATCCTCCCTAGTCTCATAACTCCCATGACCAAAACGGACGACACACCGGCTGAACGCTGAGTCTTCGCTTCATATCTTCTAGTAACGTCCTTTCTTTACCTCCGTTCGTTCGCTTGTCGGAAATCATCTTTACTTGCCTCTCCTCTTCCTGAACCACCTCCCTCTGCCACTTCTCTTACTGAACTGCCGCCCTGAACCACCTCCTTGAGTCAGCCAGAAAAGCATCTCGTAAGAAAACTACCTTGTAGAAAATAACCTACTTCAGTCACCGGATATGGATTTAAAGTTAAAGGCCTCTACATCTGGTTTCTGATCTCCACAAAACAGATCACGAATCCCGAGAAATGTCCATCGGCGATCTTTGGACCCTCGCAGTTGTTCTTCTCGTTAACATTTACATAGTGATGGATGTCACCACATAGAATTGGACTATTCACACATCGATTATAGGTTCGATTGTGATAACGATTATTTTTGTAATCATCACCAGCACTATCTCAATTGTTTTTTATCTTGTAAGTGTCGTTTTAATGTGTATTTGCTTGATTGAAATCGTGGTGGCTTCCTTGATTCCTTGATTTCTTCTGAAAACATTATTGCAATATTAGACAACTATTAAAACTATAAAATCTCAATCGTCTCAATGACCTTTACATGTGGATTACAAATGAATAAAGTTAAATATAATATATGGTTTTAATGTTATTTATAGTTGTTATGATTAATTAATTGTTCACGTAATATTTCAATTTATGTCATTGTAGTTACATAAAACAAAAAACATTGAAAATGTTACTTTTAACTAGTGTCGTTGTAAGTTATTTTTAAACTAATTATTTGGAAACTTTTAATGATTATAAAATAGTTTTAGAAATTTTTTAGTTAATTTGGGATTATAATTTATGTTTTGTATTTAACACTACCGTTTATGACTTTTAACTATTTAAAAAATAATATTTAAATTTTCTTTTAAGATTAATTGAAATTTCGATTTTAGTTAACCCTTAATGCTATATTTAATTAATAATTTAAGTATTTTATAGAAACTATTCAAAAGCTGTGACTCGAAAATGATAATGATTCACATATAACTTGTCCAAACTAATAAGTTAAACATAATATGTTAAAGTAAAATATATTATTTTAATATTAAAATTTAGTTAATTTAGAATTATAATCTAGGTTCTGCACTTATTTAATATTATCAACTAATTTATAATCATTATTAAAAAATTTAAAAGTAATAGAATTTTAAATGGATGTGGTGAAAGGAAAAAATTTATCTTTTATAATATAATATAGATATATTGACAAATATTTCTGGTGACACTATCATATGAAAGGGGATCCGTAGATAACTCATATATAAACTTAATTGTGACAATGAAAAATTATCATGTGGAAACTCATCCATACACAACACATATATAAACCAGATTAGAATAATACAACCACATGACTTCATTACATAATAATTATCAAGCTTTTTATTTCATTACTTAATAATTATCAAGCTTTTATTAACTATATAAGTAATAAGAGTATTCTAAAACCGTACTGAAGATCGACCACATTTCCACATTTGCTGTGGTAATTTTGCTTGCCCCCACCATAACTGATGGCTTTATGGAGAATGATTGATGGAGTGAAATTTGTAGGCCATTTGAAGTTGATATATCACGAACCAACATTCAACATATTGGAGGATAAACGAGGGCCCAAAAGGACGTTAAGTGGTGTTGCTTTTCTGTTAGTCATACTCATGCTTTCAGTCATATCAACAGGTTTGTTTGATGGTTTTTTGAGCACAAACTGTTGTATCAAACTAGCTAGCGTTAAACTCAAAATTTGCTGGGCAAATAAAACACCAGGGCACATTCTTCTTCCACTACCAAAAGGAAGCAATTCATAATGGTTTCCCCTGACATCGATATCCTTGTGACTTGTTAAGAATCTCTCAGGCTTGAATTCTTCGTGATCTGACCATATATTTGGGTCACGTTGCATTTTCCAAAGATTTACCCAAAGACGAGTTCCCTTTGGAATGTTGTAGCCACCCACAATGCAGTCATCCAATGACTCGTGAGGAACAGACAGAGGTCCAGCTGGGTATAATCGCAAAGTTTCTTTGATGATCGCATCGAGGTAGACTAATTTCTTCAGGTCTGACTCCTCCACCAGTCTGTCCCTTCCAACATGCTCATCAATTTCATCTTGTGCAGTTTCTAATGCTTTTGGGTGGTTGAGTAACAATGCTAAAGCCCACGTTATTGTCACAGATGTCGTGTCGACACCTCCTACTACTAGTTGCTGTGAGTAGAAATTTACACCAAACGTTGGATTAGGTTATAGCTACGTAAAAGTTAAGCTGAAAAAATATTTAAATGAATCACGAAAAATGAGATCAAAAAGGTTGACTTTACTAGACTTGTCGCTTTGATAATTGTATCATGGTCAAAACCTGGGAATTCATCTTTAGAAGCATCTCGAAGAAAGGAAATTAGCGCATGCATGAAGTCTTGGTTCCCTTCATGTTCCTGTATAGACTTATTCTCCTGTTTGTGCTCCTTTAACCATCGGTCAAAGATATTGTCCAAATCCTTTGCAGTATTCTTCATCACTTTTTTGTATCCACCCACATCCAAATAGTTTAGATAATGTATAAAATCAGCAACCACAAATGCCCCCAATAACTCAAAGAATTTCTTCACGACAGCCTGACATTGAACCCCTTCTTCATCATTTGGCGAAAACCTCTTTCCTGTAATAATCCTAACCATAATGTTTAGAATTAAGGTCCCGAACCATTGACTCATATCCACCTTCACCATCTCGGAACTTTCACCAAGTATGTTCTTTACCCAACTATCATATAAATCTTTAATTGATGCTCTAACTTCTGAAGCTCGAATATGTCCAAGCATCTCAACTCTTCGTTGTGAAAGAACCTCCAACACGACTATCTTGCGCACTTTTCGCCAATAGTCCCCATATGGAGCCAGGGCAAACACCGCATTATTATAGGCCATGATTTTTGATGCCTCTGTTTTTGGTCGACTTGCAAAAGCCTTGTCATTGGTAGTAAAGCAATCCTTAGCAATCGCTGCATCACTTACCACCAAAAGCTTGATGAACACCAAGCTTAATGGTGAAAATAGGGCCATGTTTTTCTGCCATGTCACCTAAAACCTTGTGAGGTAGCTCAGGTCCACCCAAAAGGTGCAAGTGTCCGATTATCGGCCATGCCCCTTTTGCTTGTGGTGGCATTACGTTCATTCCTGTTTTTTCCTTCTTTCTGTGGAGGATAGGGAGTAATAAACGGTGTAGAAGAATAGGGACAAATATTGTTGCAACAATAGTTGATACTAAGAGGTAGAACTCCATGGGTGAGTGAGCAAATTGAATGCGTGGTTGTATTTATTTGCGAACCTAAAAAGCTAAGATATTTGTTTTTGTAACCGATAGATAATAACAGTAAATCCTTATGGTGTTCCTTAAAAGATCAATCATGTCAACCTTTAACAATAAAGTGGATCCTATGATTTATATCCACATCTACATCAGTTTGTTGGACAGATTTACCCTTGAGGGTAATAATTAAGTTAGAAAAAGTTAAAACAAAAGACAGAAAAGTTTTATTCTTTTTAATCATTTTCGGGTTAGGCTCTTTTTAGCTTCATGTGTGTAGGTTAAGCTCATACCCATGTATATAAACTCCTTGTTTTTCTGTTTCCAAGTAATCAAATGAATCTCTCAAACATTTCATCATCTAAAATTCTAAAAGCAAATATGGTATCAGAGCGTCTTCCGATTCTCATACTCTGATTGTTTCCCCAATTTCAATCATCTATTCTAGACCTGCACAAAAAAAGACCGGTCTTGGACCGGATCCATAAAAAGACTGAGACTGAACCGGTCTAAAACGAGATCGGACCGAAAAAAGACCGGTTCAAAAAAAGACCGGACCGAGAAAAAACCGGCTTGAGACCGTCCCAGACCGGTCCGAAAAAAACCTGACCGTTCGGAGACTGGTCCTAAAAAAGACAGGACCGCTTTGAGACCGGTCTGAGAAAAATAGACTTGTAACTAAACTTTATAAATATATAATTTTTGTGTTACTTATACAATTTTTAATCACAAACTATCTAATTTATTTCATTTTTTTCTTTTATTAAATTTAAATTATCATTTTTAATAAATATTAATTTATTATTTTGGTGATAATCTCATATTTATTAATGAAATTATTATTTTTAATAAATCTTAATTTATTATTTTGGTGATAATCTCATATTTATTTAATGGAAAAAACTCGAAACCAAAACAAAAGAATCAAAAAATACCGAAACCGAATAAAAAAACCCGTAAATAGAACCGAAAAATACGCACGAAAAGATCGAGAGACAAGACCGAAAAAGATCGGTCCAAAAAAAGACCGGTCTGCAAAAAGACCGGTCCGAAAAAGACCGGTCCGAAAAAAGACCGGATTGGAAAAAGACTGAACGGGACTGAAAAAAGACCGGACCGTTCTGAGACCGACCTCAAAAAGACCGGACCGTTTCTAGACCGACCCAAGACCGGTCTGGGACCGCAAATGTGCAGTTGTAATCTATTCCTATCTTTTTTTTGTTCTTTCTATTCTCGATTTTAACCATGTCGAGTTCATCTTCCATTCCTGTTTCGGTTGATCAAAAATCATCAAATGACATAAATTTTACAACTTATACGTATATTTTGTTAATTTATCATAAATATCACTACCACACAAGCCCTTGTAATTGACACAATTTTACAAACATTTGGTCAGAGACGAATTGGTTAGTGACAAATATAAAAGTAACGTTGTGATCCAATTTTTTTTTCATTTTTTTGCTGGATAAGCAACTTATTTTAGCAATTTTAAATATGTACCAAATTGTGGGTAAATTTGAAAGTTTTCTTTTAAATAATTTAGACGATTATCTTAAATAATTTAGACGATTATCGACCGAGTATAATAATTCAAAAAATCTATTGTAAAGTTTCCTTATTTTCAAACTTTTTTAATTTAAATAGATTAAATGAAATTTCTTATTAATATATTTATTAATGTTAATAACAATATTCATTGTTATTATTATATAAAATTTTTCCCTACCCTTTTATGAACAGTGTATTTTTGCTCTTAATTTCCCTAGGTTTTTATGAATAGTGTATTTTTGCTTTTTCAGAAATTTTCTTGTCAATTTTGGTCCCCATTTCCACCGCCTTTCGTTGTCGAATGAAATCAAGCGATCCAACTATATTCAACAAAGAGATTACACACATACAATCGATTGTGTGTGTTTTGAGAAAATGGGTATTGAACCCCTGGATCAATTCAACCCTTAAATCTGAATCGATTCAACCCTTAAATCTGAATCCATTCAACCCTTAAATCAAACTTCTTCACTACAAGGAAAAAGGCAATTAGCGGCGACAAAAAGTCGCCGCTAAAGGGTCATGAAGTCGCCGCTACTACTCCGTCGCTATTGATCAATTTGTCGCCGCTAAAGAGAATAGTCGCCGCTAATGCTTTTGTCGCCGAGTAAAGTCGTCGGTAATAACAATTTTCATTTTTTAGTTTTTTTAATCAACGATTTTGGTTGTCGGTAATAGTGTCTCCGGTAATAGTCTCGACGCTAATTACATAACAACATCCGATTAAATATCAAAAGTAATAGTGTCACCGGTAATTACATAAAACTACCAAAAGATTTTACAATTCTAACAAGTAGCAAAGTGTGACAACAAGTGTCATATACAAATAAAGCTCCTCCCTAAATATCATCATCTTCGTTCCTATCGTTTCCTCGATTATTCTGTGATTGAAAAAATGAATAAAGCTCATCCCTACATGTCGGGTTGTTGAGTATTGCTCGAAGATTTTCCAACTACATAATAAATAACAACATATATAAACTTATAAGTTAAATTATCAAACATAAACAAAAAATATCAAAGTACATTGCTATTTTTAAATTAAGACAAAAAGTCAAAGTACATTGCTATTTCTTGCACTTGGGACAAAAACCCAATTACCAAATTTTTTAGCAAATAATTACCACAAAACGAAAATTACCAAATCAACATGCATTTTATGATGCCAAAGTAGATTGTTATTTTTAAACTAAGACAAAAAGCCAAAGTACATTGTTATTTCTTGCACTTGGGACAAAACCCCAATTACCAAAGTTTTTAGCAAATAATCACCACAAAACCAAAATTTCCAAATCAACATGCATTTTATGATGCCAAAGTAGATTGCTATTTTTAAACTATGACAAAAAACCAAAGTACATTGCTATTTTCTTGGACATGGGACAAAAACCCAATTACCAATGCTTTTAGCAAATAATCACCACAAAACCAAAATTACCAAATCAACATGCATTTTATGATGCCAAAGTAGACTGTTATTTTTAAACTAAGACAAAAAACCAAAGTACATTGCTATTTCTTGCACTTGGGACAAAAACCCAATTACCAATGCTTTTAGCAAATAATCACCACAAAGCCAAAATTACCAAATCAAAATGCATTTTATGATGCCAAAGTATATTGCAATTTCTAAACTAAGAAAAAAAACCAAAGTACATTGTTATTTCTTGCACTTGGGACAAAAACCAAATTACCAATGCTTTTAGCAAATAATCACCATAAAACCAAAATTACCAAATCAGCATGCATTTTATGATGCCAAAGTAGATTGCTATTTTTAAACTAAGACAAAAAACCAAAGTACATTATTATTGCTTGCACTTGGGACAAAAACCCAATTACCAATGTTTTTAGCAAATAATCACCACAAAAAACCAAAGTAGATTGTTTTACATGTGATGGTTGTGATGGTTGTGGTGATGGTTGCAATGGCTGTGAAATCGGCGTGAGAGCAGAAGGTGGCAGAAGGTTTACGGTCGATGCCTCTGATATGGCCACGTTGCTCTCCTAATACTTTCTGAAAAACAGCTCTTTCTTGAGCGGGTGTTAACTCACTTTCACCTTGGGTTTGTTCTAAGAGCTCTTCGACTAATCGATTATGTAATTCCCAAAAGTGAGTAACAATTAAGTATAAATAAACACTTAAATATATGATATAATTATAATTAAATACTTACATATTGTTGTTCCGCTTCGGTAGTAACAAATACACCATCCCTATCGGTGTGAGCCTTGCGAAACGTTTCCACTCTCTTAAGGTTATGCTTAACATTAAAAATTAGATTATATTTTAAATAAATAATTACATGTATTGTACGTTACCTTCTTATAGCAAGTACTACTATACGAGCTCGACCCCCCATGATTCACGTTCGTTTGCATTTAACTGCCTTTTTTTTCGTGTCCGAAGCAATTTTGTGTTCGTCCGTTTGGAAATACTCAACTGCTTTCTTCCAGTTATCAACATCCATACCCTATAGAGGGTTGGCTAATGCTCTCGGGATATCATCATACCCTCCGACTGCCAAAAAATATTCTTTTGCGTCAGCTTTATGGTCTCGATAACCTTTTAACAAAGCTGCTTGAAAACTCTCTGTCAACAAAGCTGCTTGTACATCCTGGTAAATCTGATCCAAATCAAACTTTGTCTACAAAAAAAGGTTAACCAAGTAAAAACTATTCATAATTAACCATATAAAAATATTTTTAAATAAATAATTACCCCAAAATGTTGTATTACGGTGTCCTTTATTGCAGGGGAAACTTTTTTCCAAGTCCATTTATCAAAAGGGACCATATGCCACATTGTTTTTCCAACTTCTCATGAAAACATGTCCTTCGGCTCTCCTACGGGATCATATGTTATATCTGTATCATAATCCATGGTAATCGGTTTGCCCTTATTCTGTAAGAGCGATCTTTCAAGCTTTATATTTTTGGCTTTTCCTCGGACTTTCCTACGAGCACGTTGCTCAACTACAAATATAATTAAAAATTATTAGAAAACGTATTTAATTTATAATAACTGAATAAAAATAGTAAATAAAAATTCAGAATAAGACTTACAGTCCGTCTCATGATGACCAACACCTCTACCACCTGGGAAAGGTGGGTCCTGAGCTCCATCACCCCCGTGTCCATAGCCCATAACAGCAGCTATGGTATACACAAACAAAAGCCATATTGACATCATTTCCTGAAAAATTATAAGATATACAAATACAATTTTTATTACAAATACATTACATAGAAATAAACATTTACATAGGAATAAACATTTCTATTTAAACTAGGAATCCAAATAAAGTTTATATTACAAACACATATTACATAAGAACTATTTTAATCAGAATCTTCCTCATATCCTTCAATGTCTTCGTCGGTATCATAATCAGAATCGGTTTCATCGTAATCAGTCTCGCAAT